CTGTTCCGGTTGAATTTTGACGATGCTCCAAAAAATGCTCTTCGGTTCCGGTTGAATTTTGACGATGCTCCAAAAAATGCTCTCCGGTTTCGGTTGAATGTTGACGATGCTCCGAAAAATGCTCTTCGGTTTCGGTTGAATTTTGACGATGCTCCGAAAAATGCTCTTCGGTTTCGGTTAAATTTTGACGATGCTCCAAAAAATGCTCTTCGGTGTCGGCAGAATTTTGACGATGCTCCAAAAAATGCTCTGCGGTTCCGGTTGAATCTTGACGATGCTCCAAAAAATGCTCTTCGGTTCCGGTTGAATTTTGACGATGCTCCAAAAAATGCTCTTCGGTTTCGGTTGAATTTTGACGATGCCCCAAAAAATGCTCTTCGGTTTCGGTTGAATTTTGACGATGCTCCGAAAAATGCTCTTCGGTTTCGGTTGAATTTTGACGATGCTCCAAAAAATGCTCTTCGGTTTCGGTTGAATTTTGACGATGCTCCAAAAAATGCTCGCACGGTTCTGGGGCGCGTTGAAGATGCTTCCGGGATGCTCGGCCTTTTGCGAACACCTTCACAATGCTGCCAAAACCGCGCGAGCATTCTTTGAGCCTCGCCAAAGTCCGACCAAAACCGCGCGAGCAGTTTTGGAGCGTCATCACTCTACAACCAGAACCACGCGGCAGCGTTTGACAGTAGACGACGTAAACGGACGAGTGATGCGGCTCGCCTGGACAGATGCCAGGGGGGCAGGGGGCGCTCGGTCGCTTGGTAAGAGGGCAAGGGGCAAGGATATCGGATATCGTCTGGGGTGTGGGCGGGGTGGGCGGGGCGGGTGGGGTGGGGGGTGGGGGCGGGGGCGGTGGGTGGTGCGGGGGTGGTGTGGGGCGTGGCGTGTGTGTGTGTGTGTGTGAATGTGTGAATGTGGTGAATGTGTGAATGTGTGAATGTGTGAATGTGTGTTTTTGTTTGTGTTTGTGTTTGTGTGTGTGTTTGTGTGTGTGTGGGTGGGTGGGGGGGTGTGTGTGTGGGTGTGGGTGTGGGCGTGGGTGTGGGTGTGCGTGTGTGCGCGTGTGTGCGTGGGTGTGTGTGCGGGGGTGGATGGGTGGATGGGTGGATGGGCGGATGGGTGGATGGGTGGGCGGGGCGGGGGGGGGGGGGGGGGGGGGGGGGGGGCGACCACGCTCGGACCACGCTGGGGCCATAAGGCATCGGCCCACAGGGTCTCAGCGTCTCAGCCCACGAGGTAGAAGGTCTCGACCCATAGTCGTTGCCGATTGGTTTTCACGATTTTGGTGTCTCAGCCCATAGGCCATAGGGTCTCGGCCCATGGGGTTTGACCCCTGGTGTCTCCGCCCATGGGGTCTCGGCCCATGATCCATGGGGGCCGCGACTCGGCCAATGTGTTTCGGGATTCGAGACCAGGGTTAAGGGTTAAGGGTTACAGGTTAAGGGCTAATGGGGTTAAGGATTAAGGGTTAACGGTTAAGGCTTAGGGCTTAGGGGCTTAGGGGCTTAGGGTCTCGGACCATGGCACGTCGCCAGGCGCCAGGCGCCAGGCCAAGCAGCCATGCAATCAAGGCGACTCTTATATCTTATCTCTCATATGCTCCGCGAGGGAAGGAGAGGATGGGTGGCGGGAGGGCTGGCCCCGAAACCGGGCGCCCCCCCCCCCCCCCTCGCGGAGCATTCCATGTCGACGATGCCCCAAACCTGTTCGCGCGGTTTTGGTCGCAGTTTGATTCTCTAGGCTCTAGGGCGGGCAGAAGGGAAGGAGAACGAGGAGAATGACGAGTCTGGGTTGCGGTGTGCTTCCTAGGCTCCGATGGCAGGCGCATCTGTCTTCTGGGGTTTGTGGTTAGTGGTTAGTCGGTTAGTCCGTCTCAGGGGCGCCCTGGGACATTTGCGGCAAAGGCTCTAGGGTCTAGGGTCTAGGGTACGGGGTCTAGGGTCCAGGTTCCAGGGTCTGGGTCTAGGGTCTAGGGTCTCAGGCCCAGGGTCTCATGTCTAGAGGTCTAGAGTCCAGAGTCTGGAGTGTAAAGTCTGGGGTCTACGGTCTAAGGTCTAGGGTCTAATGGGGCTTCAGGGCGGAGCAGGGATCCGGGAGGCGGAGCATTTTTTGAGCATCTTTGGGGGGGGGGGGGGGCATCTTTATGCGCATGTTTGGAGCGTCCCGAGAAGCGAGAAGGACCAGGGCGGGAACTGGGGGGGCGGAGCATTTTTGGAGCATCTTTAGGACTTTAGGAGCATCTGTAAGAACATTGAGAAACAAACCGGGGAGGACCAGGACCTCACCCGGAAGGCGGAGCATTCTCGGAGCTTCCTCGAGCATCTTTAGGAGCATTTTTGGAGCATCCCGAGGAGGACCAGTAGTGAAATCGCTTGAAAATCGCAAAAATCGCTCGCGCTCCGCGCGAGTTTGTAATGATTGCCCTTGATATTCGCTAAAATCGCTCGCGCTCCGCGCTAGCTCTAGATTTTGCAAAGTCCCCCCAGGGGGGGCGCGGGCTCCAGATTTTTGCAAAAGTCCACCCCAGGGGGGTCGCAGGCCCCAGTAGTGAAATCGTTTGAAAATCGCAAAAGTTGCTCGCGCTCCGCGCGAGTTTCTAATAATTCTTGGCTTCCTTTGAAAATCACAAAAACCGCTCGCGTTCCGCGCGAATTTTTAGTTGTTAGTTGTCAGTTCCAGATTTTGCAAAGTCCCCCCCGGGGGAGCGCAGGCCCCAGATTTTTGCAAAGCCCCCACCCCCCAGGGGGGCGCAGGCCTCAGAAGCGCAGGTAGGGAATTAGGGGGTAGGGAGTAGGGGGTAGGGGCCCATCATCAGGCATTAATCATTAGTCATTAATCATTCGTCAATACGATGCAGCTGTGCGTGCTTCCTAGCTCCTAGCACCTAGCACGTTGCATCGCTGGGTCCAGCTCTCCAGCTTCCAGCTGCCAGCTCTACTCTCTACTCTATACTCTATAGCTTTGGGCATCTTATATTCCATAACCTATAACCTACCACCGAATAGCGAATAACCAATAACCTTATGTAGCTATCGGGCTATCTAGAACCTAGAACTTAGAGCTTCGAGCTTAGAGACTACAGGATTGGAGATCTAGGTTATAGGTTCCATACAAATCCTGTAGATTGGCCATAGACCATAGGCCCCTTACTCCATAATATGATCATATGGATGAGTTTATAGTGTTATAGGTTGTAGTCATAATACTACAGGCTATAGGATATAGGCTATAGGAATCGCATTAAGGTGATAAGTTTTAAATGTTAAGTGTTAAGACTGGGCCCCATAGGGCTTAGGGCCTAGGGGCCTAGTGCCAAATAGTGCCTAGCCCATATGTCCATGGGCCGTCGTCGTCGACGGCGGCGACGGTCGTCGGCGTCGAAGTCGGCGTCGGCGTCGTCTGCGGCGGCGGCGCCGTCGGCGCCGAAATCCAAAACCCGAAACCCCGCGTCGTCGTCGGCGTCGTCGCCGTCGTCGGCGGCGGCGGCGTCGGCGTCGGCGTCGGCGGCGGCGGCGGCGACGGCGTCGGCGTCGGCGTCGGCGGCGGCGGTGGCGACGGCGGCCGCGGCGGCGTCGGCGTCGGCGGCGGCGGCGGCGACTGCGGCCGTGGCGGCGGCGGCGTCGGCGTCGCGTCGGCGTCGGCGTCGGCGGCGGCGGCGGCGGCGACGGCGGCCGCGGCGGCGTCGGCGTCGGCGGCGGCGGCGGCGGCGACGGCGGCCGCGGCGGCGTCGGCGGCGGCGGCGGCGGCGGCGACGGCGGCCGCGGCGGCGGCGGCGGCGGCGTCGGCGGCGGAGACAGCGGCGGAGACAGCGGCCGCGGCGGCGTCGGCGGCGGCGGCGGCGGCGGCGACGGCGGCCGCGGCGGCGTCGGCGTCGGCGTCGGCGTCGGCGACGGGGGGATCTTCAAAACGCGCCCGAAACCGAACGAACGCGAAAACCGCGCGAGCATTTTTCGGAGCATCGTCAAATGGCGCCGAACCCGCGCGAGCATTTTTCGGAGCATCGTCAAATGGCGCCGAACCCGCGCGAGCATTTTTCGGAGCATCACAAAAAGCATGTTTGGAGCATAAATAATGTTTCAGCATTTCCCCAGAGATGAGCGTGACGGGTGCATCGCAGTGCTACAGTCACGAATGCAACAACAACTTGGCCTAAAGCCTTGCAGGTCCATCTCTAACTCGACGCAGCGCACATCTTCATTCATGCAATACTAAGACTTGTGCCCTCGCCCCCTCAGAGAGGCAATTTCCTCTCTCGGCAGTGTCAGCCGTCTAAAAAATACCATGCCGTGTAGGACATGTTGCATGACGATCGTACAGTGCTTAGTAGGTGTCATCTTCCTCTCTGGACGCGGGCATTCCAGCATGTACTCCTTGAATTCAGACCGAAGTTTCAAACGCGCCAAGTTCGAGCTATCCAGCCGTGGCTTGGAGGAGATAGTCCCTTAGGAGGGCCAGAGGTCCCGCGCAGGCATCCAAAAGTCCAGCTACACTAGAACATGGTCAGGTCTGGCAATGGCCAGCTCCACTGTCCGATCGATGGTCCGATCGCAAGCAAAAATTCTGAGTGCCAGGAGAGTGGCCTGAGAAAGTATGTATCTCGCGTGCCTGAACACTTGCGGGGGCGTCAAAGTCTCAGACGCGTTGGGGTCTCCAGAGAAAGAGCAGGTAGGCAAAAAGCACAGGCTCTACGGATTGCATGAACGCGCTGGCCATTGTAGTTCTCGTTCTCTTTGGCAACTGCGCCTACTTCTTCGGACGGGAAGGCGCAGGCATTGGCGTCAAGCAGCAACATTTGAAAAGGAGTGGTTGCATCGGTCTTCTTAACTAGCCCATCAGATTTCACCCAGCATGCTGGTATCTCCTGTAGCAACGTGTAACAGTGTGCAATGCTGAATGTTTCCGCTCTGGCCGCAACTGTCTGTGCTCAAGCGGTTTTCGAGGCGGCGGATGGGAGATTTCGGCTGGGCCTTTTCTGCCTATAAGTCCCTGGCCCCGGCGCCCAGCTTCATGGTGGCGTGAAGGAGGCGGTCGGCGTCTGCCCTTGTGCTCTGGCGCTCTCGAGCGCCGCCATCGCCTGCCTCGGCTCCCAGGACATCTGGGGAGCTCCTGTGCCCCTCGGGCTGACCGTGACGGCAGCGGTCCTGGCTGGCGGGCTGGTCGCTCTGCTGATGCTGGTGGCGCAGGCGGTGTGCCGTTCTTGCTACGTGACGTGCGAGCTGGCGCTGGCGTGTGCCTTCGCGCTCAGACAGACGAGCCTTCAGATGGCCCTCGATCGGCTGGTGCAGGCGCCTTTGGAGAGCGGCCACAGGTCGATCGACATGATGCGCGTGGCTCCGAGAAGGCGCAGGTCCTTCGAGGGGCTGAAGCCCGGGCACGTGGTCTGCGTCAGCTACGGGGTGGACGGGGAACCATATGATCGCCTGATCCTCGCAGTCGTGGACCACTGCTGCTACAGCATCTGGGACATCTACGCGGAGACCATCGGCCTGGAGTTCTTCGGGGATTTCAGAGAGGGTGGCCCCCGAGGGGGGCTGCCCGCTGGGCTGGGCGCAGCGCGCGGCCAGCCCGTGCACCGCTTCTCGACGAAGCACGTCGGGCAGGAGCTGCAGGACTTGTTCGAGCAGGGCCGCGCCAAGGCGGCCGTGGAGAGCAGCATGATGGGCATCCTGGAGGACGTGCCAGGGCCGCCGCCAGCGTTGGCGGGGACCGGCGCGAGCGCGGCCCCCCCTCTGCCTCCCCCAGCTGGATCGCGTCCTGCTGGGTCAAGCTCGGAGCTCGTCAAGTGGGTGTGCGTGGCGCTGTCGGCGCAGGAGTACGTGGGCAACACCTTCATGCTCGCGGCGCAGCACCACATCCCGTCGGACAGCTTCGTGGGCAACGGCTCGGTGGACCTGTATGACAGGGGCCTGCGAGGCGACCCCGCGGTGCTGTATCGCGTGGAGGTTGGGGAGCAGGAGAGTGAGGTGATTGAGCTGTTCAGGCGCCGGACGAAGAGGAACAGCGACGTGGAGGGCACGGACACTCCGCTGGTGCGGGCGCCAGGAGCGCCGAGCTCCGAGGACGCGCGCACCCTGCCGGTGCTGCGCGACAGCGCGGGACGGCGCTTCGAGAACATGAAGAGTGTGGCGAACAGCTCGGAGATGTGTGGCTTTGATGATTGGGTGCTGGAAGGGCCGCGCTCGGTTTTGGACCTGGCGAAGGAGATAGCTGGACAGGCGGCTGGCCCCTTCAAGCGCCTCTCGACCTGGAAGCACGAGAACGAGCTGCAGGATGTCGAGCTCAACGCGGTGACGCATGGGATGCTCTCGGAGATCATTGTGCTGGCGACCACTCTCGTTCAGCTCGACGTGTCGGACTTGGCGGGCATGGGGAGCCTGTGCCTCCACTCCCGGCACACCAAGCAGCGGATCAAGAAGAAGCAGGAGGCCGGGAAGGACTTCGACCTGCAGGGCTACTACCTGGGCAGGGCGCGGCGCACGGGAGGTGCGTGGAAGGCCCCGGAGCTTCAGAAGTGGGTGGCCGAGTGGGCTGCCCGCGAATCGTCCATCTTGAAGGAAGAGAAGGAGGCTGCCGAGGAGCGTACGCTTGCGTGCGCTCCTAAGAGGTCATGATGGACTCAGGATCCGGGGGCTGGCCGTCCCGGGTCGTAGATTCAGGCCGCACTATGGAGAGGGTGGTGCCTCGGGATCTGTTCCTTTTGCCCGAGGTCACCTATAGCTCTCCTGAACAGCGCCGAGGTCTTCGCCGTGCTGCTCAGCGTCTGGGCAGGAAGGCGGCCATCGGCCGACGCTCGAACAACTGCATCGCCGCCCTCAACAACCTGTACGGGGACGGCTCTTTTTTGCCTGGAGGAAGACCCTCGCAGGCACAGTCTTCGGCGCTTGACGGCATCCTGCGCGCGGTCACTGACGACAGGCCGCCGGACCCGTTGCCCGCCCCCGAGGCAGCCCTTCAGGAGTTGCTCGGTACCGAGGCCCTCGACTACGCGTCCGAGGACCTCTCCGTGGTTGCGCCGTATGATCGCGGCTTGGTCTCGTGGCCGGACACCGCAGGTTCGGTTGACTTGCTGGACGTGTTGCCAGACCCTGACCGCCAGGAGGTGATCGACGGTCCCCGTGCGCTTTTGCTTCGGGCTGAGGAGGAGCCGCCAGCGGCCTGCAAGGTCTACTGGGACAAGACGCTCAAGGCGGACAGAGGCGAGTACACCAGGTTCGTGCAGGACCTGCTGAACAGGGGCATGGTGGAGCTCCGTACTCGCCGTGAATTTGAGGTTGGGATATTCTTCGTACGCAAGAAGTCGGGCAAGTTGCGCCTGATAGTGGATGCCAGGTCCGTCAATCAGAACCTCAGGCGTCCCACCTCCATCCAGCTGGCGTCGACGGCGGCGATGGTCGGGCTTGAGGCAGAGCCTGGGGACATGCTGGAGTTCTCGATTCAGGACATCGCCGATTGCTTTTACCAGTTCAAGGTCCCGGACTACATGGCGCCGTGGTTCGGGATGAGGCCCGTCAGGGCCGGCGAGGTGGGAGCCAAGACCGTGCAGGGCGAGCCTGTGCTCGCGGGCGCCTGGGTCTACCCATGTCTGCGGGTGCTGCCCATGGGTTTCTCGTGGGCCATGAGATGGACGCAGCAGGCGCATCGAGAGCTGCTGCGGCGGGCAGGGCTTGGAGGCATCGAGAGCGAGCTGGTGGACCGCCAGGTGCCCCCGACGACCTCGGCTACGCCTGTTCCCCGCATCGTGTACGTGGACAATGAGGTTTTCGTCTCGTCTCGACCCGGTGCCTCTGCCGACGCCAGGCAGCAGGCGGCCAAGAAGATGTCCAGCGTCGGGCTGCCGCTGCACGAGGTGGAGGAGGGCAAGCATGTCGTCGAGGCGCTGGGCCTGGAGCTGGATGGCATCAAGCTCCGGCGCCGCCTGGCTTCCTCCAAGCGGTGGCGGCTGGTGCATGGCACGCGTGCGCTGCTGCGGCGGCGGCTGGTGGCAGGCAGGGACGTCGAGAAGCTGATCGGCCATTTTACGCATGCCATGCTGCTGAACCGCCCGGCGCTTTGTATCTTCCGCGCCGCTTACGACTTCGCTCGGCGGCATTACCGGGCGCCCAGCCTGCTCTGGCCTTCTGTGAGGCAGGAGTTGCAGAACGCCATGCACATCATGCCGCTGCTCGCGGTGCAATTCGATATGCCGTGGTCTGGGTTGGTCACCTGCTCCGACGCTACGCTGAGGGGCTACGCCGTGCAGGAGGCGGACTTCCCGGTGTCTGAGGTAAAGCAAGTGGGGCGCTGGAGTGAACGCTGGCGCTTCAAGGTCGAGGGGGCCGGCCGTCCTCGGGATCGGGCTTTGGGTGGCGCTCTGCCACTCGACGGACTTGAGGCTTTCGCTGAAAATGGAGAACACTACGACGACGACATTGCCATTAGCATCAATCATCAGTTTCCTGAGCGACCAGCATCATTCACCGAGGAGGGGGTTAATTGGAGGACTTTACAAGCGAGAAGGTATCACAGGAAGGAGGCAATCCACCTGAAGGAGTTGAGAGCGGTGTTATTTGGGTGGAGGCGCAAATGCAGACAAGCTAGACATCATCACAAGCATCATCTATTTCTGTGTGACAACATGGGCATGGTTCTGAGTCTGGAGAAGGGGCGAGCTGTATATGTACCCGTACTCTTTCTGCTCAGGAAGTGGGCCGCGCTTTCTCTGGCCACCTTCTCTCGCACCTGTGTGAGGTGGATTGCGAGTGAGCTGAACCCCAGCGATGAGCCCAGCCGATGGTTCGACACGCCGGCAGAGAAGGCGGCGGCAGCTGCGTTGGGGGCCCACCGGCGCGAGGCTTGCGGAGAAGTGCCTGAGGCGTGTAGCAGCGCGTCCGGCGCCGGTTGGTGCAGGCGCGCCTGGCACCCCTCCGCCGTCGGCGGGCCGGCTCCCGAGAGACGGCTGCAGCGGCGGAGCGGCCGGGTGCCCGACGCTGTCGTGGGGCCACGGCAGAGTGGCGGCGGCCCAGGGTACCTCGACAGGGCGACTGCGCGGCTCATCAACGAGGCCTCGCCGATCCCCTGCGAGGCCGAGAGGCCCCCTCCCGCCTCCGGCGGCTGGAGCAAGGGACCGGGCTCTCGTGAGGATAGCTGGCACTGGTGGGCCGACCGTCCTGGAGCAGGAAAACGCGACGGCGAAGACCACGGAGGACTGCGAGCGGAAGCGGGAGCGGTTCTTCGGCTTCTGCAGCATCAGCGGCCTGGCGCTCGACACCTACCCGCTGCTCAGGGAGGCCCTGGTGGAGTACATGGACCTCCTGTTCGCGCAGGGGGGGCCCTGCAGCGGCGGGGCCAAGCTGCTGGCGGCAGTAGGCCATCGCTGGCCGAGGCTCCATCATGCCATGCGGTTGCTGAAGCTGCCGAGGGAGGCGAAGGCGCTGCAGGGCTGGCGGCATCTGTTGCCGCTGGTGATACGGGCGCCCGTGCTGTGGGCCGCCGTGGCGCCCATCGCGCTGGCATTGGTCAGGCGCAGGCAGCCGCTGGCGGCTCTGGCGGTGGTGCTTGCGGCGGACGCCTACCTTCGGCCAGGCGAGCTGCTGTCGCTCCAGGCCAACCGTGTGGTCCCAGCCCAGTCAGAGGCCGGAAGCGACTACCGCTTCGCGTCGCTGGAGCCGAAGCCAGAGGAGGAGCTGCTGCCGACCAAGACGAAGGGCTTCAACGACTCGATCCTGCTGGATGGCACGTCGAAGCGCGACCTGGGTGTGCTGGTGAAGCGGCTGGCGAGGCAGAAGAGCTTCTCGGCGGAGCTCCTCTTTCCGCGGTGGGCCGCGGTCTCCACTGCCATGTTCGAGCGCGCCGCGGCCGTGCAGAGGCACGAGAAAAGCTCGCGGGTGATGCGGCGCACGGCGACGCTGCAGCGGGACTACCAGCTGCTGATGGCCAGTTCAACCAGCAGCCTCGAGGCAGGACTCAGGTTCAAGCACGACGTAAAGTTCGAGAGCAGATGCCACGACGCGGGTCTTGCGTGAGGCCCTTGTTTTTGGAATTGTTTTCGGGCAAGCGCGGCCTCTCCCAGGCCCTGGCTCGCAGAGGCTGGCGGCCGGCCACTTGGGACATTCGAGACTCACCTAAGCAAGACTTGTCAAAAGAAGCAGTAATTAGGCGCGTGTTGAAGTGCGTTCCCAGCGCAGGCCGGGTGCATCTCGGCGCGCCATGCAGCAGTTTTTCGACAGCAAGGTGAGGCAAGCTTGGCAGTCCCGGGGGCCCCCTCAGGTCCAAACTGTATCCCGGGGGCCTTCCTGAGCTTTTTGGCGTGGATGCGACCGAGGTGTCGGTCGGAAATCGTCTGGCCCAGGCCTCGGTCCGTATCATTCGAAGCTGCATCAGATTTAGCGTGCCTGTGTCTTTGGAGAACCCCAGGTCGTCTTGGCTGCGGCAGCAGCCAATTCTGGCCCCTCTGTTGCGAAAAGCTTGTCTGATCAATACTGTATATTGCAAATTCGGAACCCCATGGCGGAGAGCCACTACAATTGCCTGCTGGAATGCGGGTATCCCATGTGCGCTGGAGCCTCTGCGCGCAGAATGCAATGGTCCTCGCTGCAAATATTCTGGTGACCGCCATCAGGCCTTAGAAGGCAAAGCACCAGGAGGCAAGCTCTGGACGTTGGTCGCAGAGCCCTACCCTCCTCGCTTGGTTTCTTTGTGGGCGTCACGTGTCGACGCCGCTAGACGATGATGGGGGCCCCTCGCTTGCTGGCGCGGCGTGATGATAACGGCGCCTCGCTGCTGGGTGTCTCCGCGGTGCGCTTGCACTGTTGGGAATTTCGGCTGAAAAGTGCCGCCTCAACCGCCAGGTCGCTAGATTTTGGCGGATATCGGCAAGTTGGCCAGCTGGTCCTTTTTCTGTTGTCTCTCTGCTGCTGCCAGACAAGCCCGGCCGCAGCTGCAGCGAGAATAGCCTGGCCTTAGGAAAAGTGGAGCATGTAGCAACGTGCAACAGCGTGCAATGCTGAATGTTTCCGCTCTGGCCGCAACTGTCTGTGCTCAAGCGGTTTTCGAGCCCAACCACTCCACTTTGCGCCTCTCTCAGAGTGCTCTCGCACTACCGCAAGCTTGGCAGTCGCTGGAGGCAAGTTGGCCAGCTGGTCCTTTTTCTGTTGTCTCTCTGCTGCTGCCAGACAAGCCCGGCCGCAGCTGCAGCGAGAATAGCCTGGCCTTAGGAAAAGTGGAGCATCCTTATCATGCTTGGAATGCGGAGCATGCCCAGCACAAAAATACATTGAGACTGAGCCAACACTAACTTTCACAATGAGCACCGGCGGTTCGGCAACCGCCACGGTGAGTGGATAGCAGATGCCTCTGGACAGAGAAGGAAGGGAGGTTGGGCACCAACGGGACCCTTGCGGAACCAAATAGAACACTCGTGAGTACCTCTGGGGGGTGAGGGGCCATGTAGGACGAGGAAATTACCTATATCCCTCCATCCCAGCCTGGGGACTTTCGATTCTGCAGTGCCAACAGCCTGCAACTTAGCTGATTCAATCTGCGCTGCAAGTATACGAGGGCGACCCGAGGCATGAAGTCCACCCAGTATCTTGGGTTCATTACCCATAACGCTCAAACTCAAAATGCGATCGTGACACCTGGCCTGGCACGCTGGAACATGATTTGGGTAGATATATTGGGCATCATTGACCAGGGGGGCCTTAGAAAATGGAAGGTCATGGTCGGCCCCAGTGGCCGCTACACGAGGGGACAAATTTCTTGAACAGAAGGTGCGTCCAGAACCAGCATGGAATCCCCCTGGCACATCAACGGGAACTGCGCCCAAGTTCGGGACCCCAGAGACTCAAGCCACACCCACGATGCAACGAGAGGCTGAGCCAGCCACCCTTCCCGGTGACAAAATGGGGGGGGACTTCAGGATCTTGATGGAAGCTAGCGCCGCTAGGGAGTCCGCCATCGCGTCCATCGCATCTGCCAAATGAATTTCAACATGATGAGGTTTTAGCATGATGAAGATCAGTAGGTCTAGGTTGTTGCAGGCGCAAAGTTAGTGAGCGGAGACAGCGCGCCCAAGCCAGCATGATCAGACATACCTCCTTCGCCCAGGGTTGCACGCAGCACAACTAGATTGTCCACATGGAAGCTGACAGAAACAATCGAGGATTATAGAACCCACGATGTGGCCCGTAGCATTGCAACAGCTTCTGCAGCAAGACTGGCATGAGCCTTAAGATCGGGTATGGCATCCAGGTCAACAACGCCTGCAAAACGACCCCGTAGTACCAAGGGCCATGGGGGTGGAGCAGCAGTGTTACAAACGGCCAGGACGGAGGTGTAGAATCGCCTCCACATTCTGTCTACACAAACGCGCGCAGAGAACGAGGATCACGCGGGGGGAGTGGGACAAGGGTACTGAGAGAGGCAAGAGAGCAAGGAAAAAGGAAACGCTCGCGGTCCTGCCACGATGCAGCAGGTGCCGATGACCAGGGTGCCCCAATATCGCCAAGCAAACTTGAGCACGCAACAAACTATTACCTGGTTGTAGCATAGGGACCACTCGGATCCAGATCGGTGCGAGGTCGATCGGGACCGGAGTGGGCATCGAGGCTACCCCTCTCGGGCCTCCTCGTCGTCTGCTAGTTGGCCATCTGCTAGCCGTGCTGGTCGCTGCTCCTCCACACCCGAGGCGCTCGCTTGTCTTGGCGATCTCGAGGCTCGGCATTTTCTTTGCAGGTCCTCGGAATGGACTGGTCGCCCCCTGCGAGGCTCAACCTGCGCTCCCGCAGGTTCCCCTTGGCCCCGCGGCGCTGGATTTGGAGCAGTGTGAGGCTGCTCGAGGCGAGGAGGTGGATGAACGCCAGCGGCTGGCACGCGCACAGCAGCAAGGGGCGCCTCGTGGCGGGCGCTCCGAGGGTTGAACTGGGCCCCTTAGAGAGTTAACGTTGTAGTCGGCCCTCGCCCGGTACGTCGTCAAGGGCTCCCTCGAGGGCGCGAAGTTATTCGCGCTTCGCGCTTCGCGGTCCTCGTTCCTTCTCCCCCTCCTCCTCGTCCTCCTATTCTCCCTTTGGGAGGGCGGCGCGAGAGCGCGAAGTTATTCGCGCTTCGCGCTTCGCGCAGCGCGAAGCGCGAAGTTGGGAGCCCTAGGTCGTGAGGCACCGAGACACAGAAACAATCTGGGATTGGACAGTTGCCAGGCCTGCAGCTTGCTGAGGCTGCACCGCTGGTGTCGGCGGCGAACTCGCTGCGGCAGGGGCGGCAGCAGCAGGCGACTGCCCAGGAATGTGCGTCGCCGCGCGTGTCGCGTCTGAGGCATCCAGCAGTTCGACCTCCATGATCTCGTCGTCCATCGGCTCTCGCTGGGGCCCGGGACGTGGTGATGGTGGAGACGCCTCGATGACAGCATACGTTTGCTGGTGCTTGTGGACCTACTGCTCGGTCTGATCCCGCGAGGCCCTCGGAGTGTCCAATTCGTGTTCCCGTGTTCTGGTGGACGTATTCTGTGACTCTAATTTAGCTTGGGGACGTTGAAGTGCCGTTCGCTATCTCTGCTTCGGTTGTTCCCACAGCCTGCGCACATGTATCGTCGTGAGCAGCACTGCATACCATTGTCGCGCGTCCTCCATGAAGTCTCCAACCGACTCCTCCATTCGGATCGTTGCCGCCAACACATTCATCGCTTGCTGCCGCCATGCAATCGAGCGTTTCCTTTTCGTCTCTGTCGAATTTCTTGGTAGAGAACGAAGAGAGCGAGGGTGCGAAGTAGCACGCACTGGGAGCACAGGCAAGATGGACAGAGGATAGGTGTTATGCTGATGGCCTGCCGTCTCCTCCTCGACTTCTCGTCTGCGAACGGAACTGATGCTATCATGCGTCTCATGCTACGGGAAGGGGGGCGACGACTATCGCGTTGAGATTGTTGATGTGGAGCCCACAAACAGCGCGTCATGTCGTGCGGAGCTGCCAAACCAGTGCCACCCGATGCCGAAGCGCTGCCCCCTCCTACCTCTCCTCCCTCCTCTCTCTCTCTTCTCCTCCTCCTCCTCCTCCTCCTCCTCCTCCTCCTCCTCCTCCTCCTCCTCCTCCTCCTCCCTCCTCCTCCTCCTCCTCCTCCTCCTCCTCCTCCTCCTCCTCCTCCTCCTCCTCCTCCTCCTCCTCCTCCTCCTCCTCCTCCTCCTCCTCCTCCTCCTCCTCACGCACGACAAAATGTCTTGTCCGAGAAACTGGACGTTCCACCTACAGTCAATACTCACAGTAAGGACGCACGGATGTGCCCAGGGCATTCGTGCGCCCTTGCTTCTGCGGCCCGTCTTTCACGGCGATCACTGGCCAGCCCTTGAGGGCGTCAGCAGTCCGCCGCCCAAAAAGTGTCAAGTTCGGCGTCCAAGGCCGTTGCGTCTTTACCGCCCGTCCTTACTATAGATTTCGATGGTATCTCACATGTAGAAGTATCAACATGTTCACTGGACATATGCTGAGGTTGTTGCTAGGTTGACTACTGATCAAGCAATATGGTCATGGCCGCTGCCAGCCTGACAAGGATTCTGTCGTCGGCACGTCTTTGTCTGAGGTGTTCGTGCCAGGCACCTTCAGGAAAAGAGCGGTTCGTGGGTGGCAGCAGTTAGCGGCTGGCGCGCTAGATTGGTGCGTTGGATTACAAAAGGAGTGTAAGGAGCCAGAGTGTATATATATGTATATATATATGTGAGTGGCATGGCCGCTGGTCCGCCTCGGCCACCACTAGGGCAGGACCCGAGCGGAATTGTGAAATGGTGGGCGGTTAGCGAACGAAGCCTTCCGAGAGGCGTCTTGGAAAATGTTGAGGGGTGTGTGGCAGGTTTCGGAGACGTCGTTTGGAGATGTCCTGAAGGTCCGGCCGGCTTCTTGCAGGCGTACGAAAGGTTTGTTGAAGGTTTCGGAGAGGTGCCCGAGAGAATTATGATATGTGGTTTGAAGGTGCCTTGTCTAACAGCTTCTGGGAGGTTTATTAGATATGTCTGAATAGATTATTGGAG